GTGATAGTTCTTGATTACTTTTTGATAAATAATTCGTTCTTATTGCGAAATAGGAGCACTACTTATCAATCTGTAATAAAAGACGTGAGGAAATTCTGTCTTTTTTAAAAGCAAAAAATTTTTTTAGGCAAAATACCCAACAAGAAGTTTGTAAAAAAATGAATCCGCCTCAACAATATAGAACTTATCAACAATATTTTAATCTCTATTTTAATGCTAAACCTCCCCTAAGGACAGCATTGTTATTTAGCGATTATTATAGCAGTAAATTTCAGATCAGATACCGACAACCTTAGCAACATTTACCAAACCCTAATAAAGCCATAAGTATGGAACACCCGGTACACTAGTGAAAAATTAAAACTATTTCCGCTTATCTCAATACGTGCATACCACTCTCGCAAATGTAGCAAATAATTCAGACATACTCAGCCTTTTCAAGAAGGCAAAGACCTAAAAGGACGTTAATTTTTACCAATCATGTGGTCAGTTTATCCGATGTTTTGCTCTCCCAAAAGGAAGAATTTCTTCCCTCAAAAACTGATGAATGTTTTAACACTTCGTGAATTATAAATTTTATACATAATGTTTTAATTGTGAATTGGTGTTTGTAGTTTGTGTAAAATTTTAAATCTGATGATGGCGCCGTTGTCTCGCCGAAACGTAATGAAATAAACGATGTTTAAAAATGTTTACTTCACACTTTGACTGAAACCCAGGAAAGATAGGACTATCATAATTGTTATTTATTTTAAGTTTTGGAGAAGGGCTTAATTCAAAAACTAACGATGTAGCCTGACTTGGTTCCCGCCCTTATATTTTTTCTAAAAAATTATAGAATCGTATTCCTATACCCCGTGTATTCTTTGTCAATAGTGCCATCCGCAACATTACAAAAGGCAACTCGACGAGACATTTCCAGTCATTCTTTGATGATTAGTGCAAGGGCAAGGTATATTTCGTTTAAAATCCTGTGTCGAAATGAATGGTGAGTAAAGTGGTCCGAGACCATATGTTAAAAGATCTGATTAGAGTCGTTTGATAGCGGGATTTTTAATAAAGGAATAATTCGCTTGTAGATACTTATTCCTGTAAGCATTTGCTAATTGTAGTTTGAAAGTGATGTGAAATGGATGTTTGTTTTATGTGTTTCTAGGCCAACGCCGTCGCGGTCCCGTTGCCAGAAATCTGCCAGCAATCCTGGAGGACCCGACCGCACCCTGGAAGGGTCCGCCTCCCGGTCCGGAGCCTCAGGGGTTCGCGGGGGGTGCTGGCGCCTTCGGATCGGGTCCTCCCGCCGGATTCCAAGGGCCCCAATCGTTTCAAGCGGGCCCTCCGGCCGGATCGGGGTCTCCAGCATCCAGCAATGCACCCCCCTATCAAGGCGGCGGACCTCCTCCAGGCGCTTCCACACCCCAGTACAATGCTTCGCCAGCCCCATCTGGCAGCTCAACGCCCGGACCTCCTGGACAGCCCCAGAATTCTGGCGGTAAGTTTTTTCTATGTATAACTTTCTCATTTCAGATGGTCCCAATTCGTTGACTTTTGCTCTTTTTTCCTACCTAAGGATTTGCAAGTGGCTGATATTTTAAAATTTGGTTCACCTACGGTCGTATGATCATTAACTCTGGCAACGTCACAGACATACAGGGTGATTCAAGATTGAAGTCATTCTTTTTAAGGAGTAATAGGGTATGAAGAGTATGAGAAAAATATTGAAAATACTTTTCGAACGTTTTTTCCCGAGCAGGAGTTAATTTACCAAATACGAGAAGCTGCTCGAGGAGAGTGCACAATAAGGTGGTTAGACAGACATTAACTTGTTTGGAGTTAAAGACAGAATTGTATGTTTATTTGTATACACATCAATTCGAGGTTATGATGACAAAAAGAACACTTTCTCGATAACAATATTGACCTTTCAAAAACGTATGTAGATCTCTACATTTAACGAATTCTGTTGAATTTACCGTTTATCCTTTTCGATTTTATTGTCACTTTCTGTATTTTTTATGGTTACCGGAGTTTTAAATAATTACGAAGGAACAGATATTTACATGTTGTTAATTAGACAGATTGCCTTGAAAAACATCGTTTATTTCTAATATAGTTTTTTGCAAATTTCTCAGTTTTAATGTCAATTTATTTTTTTTTACTATTTTTTCTGTACTGCTGAAACACCTCCAGACAACACCAATGAATGACGCCAATTTTGAATTACCCTGTACTAACCTGTAGTAACTTCAGACTTAAAGTTTGAGTAATAACTATACGGAAACACCCTGTACGTCAACCCCACAATCAATGCTTGTGGTAGGAACATTAAATGATACATAATTTTGTTGGTACCATAAATAGGTTTTTGAGCGATATTCTGTATCAAATACGAACAGATTTTAAGGTGCTAATATTAAAGATATTCTGTCTGCAGGTCTGCAGACTACCACTCGTGATGACATAAAAACGAATTAAAATTGCAAAATGTAGCTTGTTCCAAATGAAAATTGTGTAAAAAATGTTACTTGTTCCAAATGAAAATTATTTCAATAAATCACTAAATAATATATGCAATACATTGGCCTCTCACTGTATAATCGTACATAGCAAGAACACACGTTTATTTGTAGGTACCTAAGTTTTACTGGCACACCCTGCACACTTGAAACAAATTTTCTAATGTGTTTACTCACAACCACCATGTATAGATTGTTCCTCTATCAAAACTCCAAATTCTTTTATTTTTTCAGGCTTTGCCCCTCCGCCAAACAACGCAGGTCCACCATACAATGGACCGGGACCTGGGGGTCCATTTGGATCACCCTCAGGTGGGCCGCCCCCATTTGGACGACCTGGATCGTCGGGGCCTCCATTCGTGGGTCCGGGCGGTAACCCTCATTTCCATAACTTCGGGCCAGGGCCTGCAGGTTTTGGAATGCCGCCTGGATCGCCGTTTGGTCCAGGACCGGGACATCCGATGTCGGGACCTATGGAACCCGCTCACGGCATGATGGGACGAGGAATGGGCGGGCCAATGCCTGTTGAGCAAGGGTAAGTGTACTGATTTTTTAAAATATTTTACTAAAACGAGTTGGATGAACATTTTCGACCAAAGTCTAAAATCTAGGCGTTGATAAATCTGGTGATCCTGTCGGCCAGTTTGCCAGTTTTTCGTTGCCAATGCTTTTTTTTGTCCTGGATAGTTCTAAAAGCCATCTCATTTTGTTATGTGAGATGTGAGTTCTTTCATCCGCACTTATTTTAAATTTTTGACAAATGTTAAATATATTTTTTATACAATCAGAAACTTCTTATGTTCCATGTCGCCTGAGATTCGAAATATCTTTGTGTTTGATTAAAATTGTATGTAGAAATGGCGATTAAACAATAACAAACACAATCGATGAGGCAAACATATAGAGACTAATTCAGGTTTAGTCTTGATAACTTCATGAATCAAATTAACAGGTTAGAAAAATACGCCTACAATAGTATATATAACCTCCTACTCTAAATTGTTTCTTGCAAGCATTAAATGAATATACGAAAGACGTTTTTCGCAGTAGGTATTGATATAATTTGGAGCGTAGAGAAAATGTACCCCAATTAATACACTTTCATTAGTTTTTTTGAATTAATACTGTTTTAATCTAGAATGTCTGTTGAAGTGTACAAGCAACTTTTTACATGAATTTATCAATATCTTCACATCATTCATCCTCATATTTATTTAGTTGAAATAAAGCCATTTTTTATATTTTCTTGTATCACATAATTTTGAATTTGGAAGTGGCAAGCCTTTGTGCAATATGTATTTACGTAAATTAATGTGTAATCAGTGATATTTTTCAGCTGGTATCTTGTCTGTTATCATTAAAAGTAGCCCGCGTGAGATTGGAGTAGGCAAACAATTGGTTGGAAAGTGTTCAATTATTGTTATTCTTCAATCAAGTTTTACACACCACTGAAAAATGCGGCATTTTCAAACACAAAATCTATTCAAAATCTATTCTTCTTCTCGGCTTCTTGACTTGACTTTTTGTATCATTTTATTACGCTGTTATATTATATAAACTTAAAAAAAAATACAAAAAATTCAATGGCTCAGTTCTGAGTGTCTTGTAGTTTCCACACAATATGATTTGGCGCTAAGATTAAATTACTTAAACTTACTTAATATGCATCCTGCAAGCAAAAACGTGGATGCAATGTAAAAATGTAAGAGACTGAACATCAGGAAATGCCATAAATTGTTAATGGAAAACGTTGGAGATTAAAAACCCAAGGTGAAAGAGTATACTGACCTCGACATTGAGTGCCGTGAATTTTTTATTGTTACATATGTATCTTATTCAATAGTAAAAATGTTCTCGAAATTTATTTCTTTGTTTAATATGGATAATTTGCATATTTTTCCGTTAGTCGATTTTTAAAAATAATTTAATTCTAATGTACATGAAAAATATTGCGATTCATAGTTGTTGTTGGGAGTATACAATATTTTAGTTTGACTTAATGTAAATGTTCAACCATTTTATTAGAAAATTTTGTTTTCATTTAAATGTTTTTGTACGGCAAATCTATAAAAAATTAGATACCTATAGGAACTTCAGACTCTAAATATGAATAATCCAGGAATATAAAAATATACAGTCCTCTGTTCATCAATAATTAAGTTGTTGCTTTACCATTTACCAAGTTTCTAACAAAAATTTACGTAAGCCTTAATCTAAATGTTTTTGTTTAAAACATTTGTTTATGTTATTCTTTTTCAAATTATGCTACATACTTTTATTATAACTTTTTTATATAATAATTTTTTAATTCTGTTAAATCTATAAATTCAAAAACTGCGTTTATGATTACAAAGTAAAAAAGTCCAACCGTTCTTCGGAAATTTGACAACGTTGGTACCGGCATTATTATCTTTTTAACCACGTGGATTGGGAGTCCCACGTTGCCAGGTTTGGATGTACCTAAGGATCCGTTCTTCAAACTTGAATTTACTATGGTTATTTATTGTCTTTAAAAGAACCAAAACAGTTTATGGCAATTTGCGCTTAAACAAATTTGTGCACGTGTTTTGAAATAACATTCGAATATTTCATTCAATATTTATATTTCAACGCAAAGTTATAAGAATTACTTAAGTTTATAAATTATTATGTTGCTATGGTAAATAAGTCTTCAATCGAAACTCGTTGAGTATAACTCGTCCTTAAATATTATATTTTTCTGAATTAATACCTAAGTTTGGTAAATCGACCGTGTACGTTTTGCCAACAAATTCCATATTTATTTATGATTATCATCAAATTGCTTGCATATTTGAGTTATTGCCAACCGTATAAATTGAGCCATTCAAAGTGTGCTTTATTACAATACCAAAAAATCGACCTCCAAGTCAAAGAAATCCAAAATAGGGACGAGCACAAAACTATAAAAACCGAATCCATCATTAGTTGATAAATCCCACCAACAATGTTGCTGATGTAAAAAACTTGAAAATTAAAAAAAAAATCAATACGGATTCGATTCAAAAAGTTGGTTCTTGGAGAATCGCCCGGGACCAACTATGGAAGGCCATAGGGGAAGTGGGGCAAAGAGTTTTTTTATGTAAAGATACTGGTGCAAGACGGAAGGGGGGATCCCCAGCAACGTTGCCAATTCAATCAATTTTTTACAAGGTTTTCAAAAAATATTATTTGTATAAACAATTCACTCGATTCTAATATTTATAATCAGATATTATAACGGTCAATGGAAATAAAATTTTATTGCTTTTAGGTGTTATTGTTGATCTTTTCACTAATTTGCTAGGGTTTTGTGTGTTTTAGAAGTGTTCATTCTCTTGGTCTATTAGCATAGGATTTTGTTTATTTTTATTTAGTTTTTTTGTTTTCTAGAAGAAAACCGCAAATAAGTTTATAGGTGCAATTTGTTTGTCAATAACTCTGAGCAGCTTAAAATCCTGGAAATGATGACTAAAAATAAATTAAACATCTAGGTATAGGTACGTTAAGGTTCGTTTTGTTCCTACATATACAAAAGTCGATGTGTTAATTATTGTCTTCCTAAATGAGTCTTGCGTGCCTATTGATTCCCCCAAAATTATGTCTCTATCCCTTAACCTATGAGCCTAATGGTGATTTAAAGTCTGTCGAAAGTGCTCAGCCTCATTATTAAGTCCGCACTCTCTGATTTATCGACTGTTTACTTTTGTAGAATGCTTATCTACAAAATAAAATTTTAATCGTAAGTATGTCATTGCTATACAGCACAAATGAGAAGTAACTTCGATCAAAGCTGCGTAAGAAATAAGTACTGCAAATTGTGTGTTTTTAGACGAAATTTTTAAATTAAAAGAAATATTAAATTCATTAATCATAATGATCATTGAAGAAACCGTGTTGACTATTATAAATTCGAGAATCTAAAAAATTAAGTGGTTTAACAAAAACACATTTATTAATTGAATGGAAAAGATTGCAAATTAAATTATGAAGAATGGTTTTATGTAGGTACATACAACCATTCTTCATTTAAGATTGTTATGTCTTACGTCGAAACAAGACTATCTAATGCACTTGTTCAAATATACTTAGTGCCTTTGTTACTTTAATAATATTTTCTGAAATCGGATTGTCTGTTTGAAAATTATTCAAAACCTGGGTGTTTCAAATAGTAGATTTGTTCTAACAACTACTGTGATATTAATCACTTGAACTTTCCGTTTAGCCAACGGTTTCAGCAAATCTTATACATAGAGACGCCAAATTGCTTTTTTAGCTAATTCTGCTTTGCCATAATTGAACATAGCCAAAAATTTATCAATTATTTCCGGATTGCACTAAATTTTTGCGGCCATTAGAAGAATTTGAAAGCTTCAAAAATAAACAATTTTGTTTGATAAATATTTAGTCAGTTGCTTACTTATACAAATACAAATTGTCAGCATCTAGTTGCCTTCATGTAACTTGATACTTGAAGTACATATACAGTTTTTTCGCTTAAATATATAATTAAGATTATTTATATACAAATGTTTCTGTAAGCTCTTGGTTTTGGATGTTTATTTGATTAACGCCATTTTTCAGTATAAAACATGGTTTAATTATATTTTTTTAACTGAGTCTTCTATATGGGCAAATTTATAATGACAATTACAGTTGCATTGTCAGTACTTTTCAGAGGAAGTTGTGGCAAAGAGTCCTGACTCGCGCAAAAATTTGTATAAAATATATAAAAATGAGTATTCAAGATTACTTTTTTCTGTGGCAGATTGTGTCAATTCATATTTCAATTACTCAAACTTTTTGTAAAAAATAAAATGTTTTAAATATTTTTTCAGTAATTTTTTATGCTGCTTGACAACGTCAATTATTATTATTTAAAAATTAAAAATACCAAAAAGATGCTAAACTGAAAGGGGCATTCAAACGTTTGCAAATACGCGGTCAGTGGCGCACCCCAAATTTTCTGAAGAGTAAATGATGGTCTGATGGTTAAAAAATATCAGCTTGTAACGATCCCTAATCGTATTCCTGATACTTCCGAACATCGTAATCTGGAGACAAAATTTTACTAAATTATCACAAAGCTATAGAGGCTATGTGAAAAATTATATAAAAAATTAAAACATTTTTAGCTGATAAACTTAAACTAGATATAAGGCAGTTTGAGAAATGCCAGAGCATTGCTGATATAAACTGGCTCACTCTGTATTTAATGCGACCGATTGACGGCAAAAATTGTTCAATTTGTAAATTTAGATGTTTTTGTACGAATCGCAAACTATTTTTGCATATGGAATGTTAATATGTATTTAAATACATATATTACATATATTTGAATGACAATATATCAAAACTAATAGTAGTAATCATTCTTCCACAGTCTGTTTTATTTGTTTTTATTTAAGAATTATTTTGAGCTCAGTAAAATTGTTGTTCTAGAGTTTGATAAGCGTCTTATTTATTGTTGTAGTATTTTCTTAAAATCCAAAATCATTGTTATTGAATTTACTCGATTATTAGCTAAATTATTTGCAT